AACGAGAAGGCTATCCTGTGCAGCCCTTTTCTTCTTTTCTTTTTCCAGTGGTGAAGAAAACAATGGGGTCGACAAAACAGAAGCAAAAGCGTGGTCTGGGGGTTTGTTTGGTTACGTGAAGGAGCTGGGGTGCGGGCAGTAGTCATGAGAGCAAGTGGTCGACTGGTTCTGTCGACTGGTTCTGTCCATCGACTGAAGACGCAGCAATGGGGAGGGGAAAAAACTGGACGAGGCAGCAGCAACTCGGAAGCGATGGTCGACGAAGGCAATGGCAGCAGTAGCAGCTGCGTGAGCAGTAGGTGGGCTGTTTGGGTCGTCCCTGATTGTCGACTGTAATCGATAGAAATGGGGGTTGACGACGAGGGTAAGGGCAGTCGGAGAAGAAGGCAGCGCAGTAGCAGCTGCGTGAGCAACAATGGCGACTGGCCATGGCGAGGGTGAACAACTTGGACATAAGACGTCGATGTTCGTTCGGACGAAGAAGATGAAGCAACGGAGAAACCATGGACGACGTCGACGGAAAAGATGAAGACGTGAAGATGGAGGGGAATGGGAGAGGGAAGCCATGGTTGTGCTTTGGAGTTTTGAGGAAGAAGAAGGAGAATAGGGGGGGGGGGATGCTTTAGGCATTTTTTAGGGTTTTCTTACTATTTTTTTAGTTTTATTTTGTTTGTACAATAATAGGGGTGTTGGGTTATGGACTGGGTCGACCCAGTTCGAAATGGACTGGGTCGTAGGGAAGATTGGGCCAATTTTTGGGCCTATGGCTTGAAATCGAAGAAGAGGCCCAATTCCGACTTTCTTTATATTTTCGCTCTCTTTTCTTCTTTTATTTCTCTAAAACTAAATTATAAAAATACTTAAACTATTATTAAGAACTAAATTAAGTTATAAAAGCGCAAATTAACTCCCAATAACAATTAACGCACAATTAAGTAATAATTAAGCATAAAATTGTATATTTGGACATTAAATGCTAAAAATGCAAACGATGCCTATTTTTGTAATTTTTAATTTTTGTAAAACAAATTTAATTACTAACAATTGTAGAATTAAATCCTACATGCAAAATGCGACATATTTTTGTATTTTTTATTAATTTAGCAAATAAACACGCACAAACAACCACAAATAATTATTCAAAATATTACAAAATATCACAAAATTGCACACCAAAGAAAAATCATTTTATTTTTGAATTTTTTGGGAGTAATTCTCATATAGGGCAAAAATCACGTGCTTACAGCGGGGACGTGAGGCTTGGGTCACAGGTCAACCCCAAGAGAGATAGCTTCAAGTACCTTGGGTCGATGATTCAGGGGGACGGAGAGATCGACGAGGACGTCACTTACCGTATAAGGGTAGGGTGGATGAAATGGAGGCTTGTAACTGGAGTCTTGCGTGACAAGAAAGTGTCACCGATACTCAAAGGTAAGTTTTATAGAGTTGTGGTTAGACCGGCCATGTTGTATGGGGCAGAGTGTTGGCCGGTTAAGAACTCCCATATCCAGAGGATGAAGGTAGTAGAGATGTGGATGCTGAGGTGGATGTGCGGGCACACTAGGATAGACAAGATTAGGAATGAAAATATTCGGAAGAAGGTGGGCGTCGCCCTTGTGGATAACAAGATGCGTGAAGCGAGGCTCAGATGGTTCGAGCACGTGCAGAGGAGAAGCTTTGATGCCCCGGTAAGGAGGTGTGAGCGGTTGGCCGTGGTGGGTACGAGAAGAGGTAGATGGAGGCCTAAGAAGTATTGGGGAGAGGTGATAAGGCAGGACATGGTACAACTGCAGATTTTCGAGGACATGGCCCTTGATAGGAAGGTCTGGAGGTCAAGCATTAGGGTTGTAGGTTAGGGGGTAGTAGAGTTTTACTTACTTCATACCGGGGGTGAGGCGGGGTTGTATTAGTGTTGATCTTAGATGACTTGCAGTTTATATTGAACACACACTATCATTGCTATTTATCTTAGCCCCGGGCCTTAGACTCTGGTTACTGTTATTGCATGTCATTCATCTTTTGGTTGTTATGCTTCTATTACTATTACGGTTTCTACGGAGTTACTAATGAATTATTTTTTCTTATTTTTTATATCGTCTTTCTAAGCCGAGGGTCTATCGAAAACAACCTCTTTGCCCTATCGAGGCAGGGGTAAGGTCTGCGTATACATTACCCTCTCCAGACCCCACTTTGTGGGATTTTACTGGGTAGTTGTTGTTGTTGTTGTTATATGTGTGTGTGTGTGTGTTTTATATAAAGTTTCTAAAATTGTATGGTACATGTTAATCGTTTGCTTTGTTAGTCTAGTTCTTTGCTATTATAATAATATAGTTCTTTGCCTTTACATTTTAGTTTGATTGATAGTTTTCTTTTGCTAATTACAAGAATCTATCATATTCAAAATAATCTATTTCCAACAATCTTTAAATCATTTATCACTATTTGATTCAATTATCATCAATGTATCTTGGTAGATGATAGTTTCTCAAAGAGTAATTGATTTGATAGTGCTATGTCGAAAATATAGTCGCCGAAATATGTTTTTGGTAGTGTATGCCTCATATTTAAGAAAAACCCGATAAATAATCGAAAAAATCAAAAAATCAACAAAATCGACATACTGAATTGATAAAAGATCGACTTAATTAGTTTGGTTTGATTTGGTTTCAATATTTAAAAAATCAATTTACTTAGTTAATTTATTTTTAGAAAAAAATCGATTCAATCATGAACACCTATAATAAAAAAATTAAAAAAAAAAAAAAAACGGGTAGACGCTGCACTCAAAAGAAAGACAGAGGCATAGCCTACAAAGCAGCTAAATNATAATAAAAAAATAAAAAAAAAAAAAAAACGGGTAGACGCTGCACTCAAAAGAAAGACAGAGGCATAGCCTACAAAGCAGCTAAATACGTGGTTCAACAGGGTCCATAGATTTCGTACTTTAGAGAGACAAACGTTTCCAGATAAAGTAGATTTTTGACTGTATTATCATCTTTGAGGTATTGTGCACTTTCTTCCTCATTTTATGTTGGATCCAAACAAAGTTTTCTAACAATATCCATTTATGGCCTTTCTTGAGATATTTTTCCAATTTGTAAGCATCCTTTTCATATCTTATGCAATTTGTGAGCATTAAATACGTAAAGTTTTGCATTTATAGCATGGACAAAGTCCAACTAGCTAAGATTTGTCCAAGCACTTCAATTATGACTTCAACAGCCAGCAAGAAAAAGAATTATAAAGCCACAAGACACCATCATTCCAAGCACCAAAAGCCATGCCTATACAATTTGTCAAGTATTTTAAAATTTTTTAGTTATTACGTTTCGCATATCAAGCAAAAAATAATTTATTTTTTCAATTTTGCCCTTAGTAATAATTGCTCATTCCAAATCATTTTCTAACGCATTTTTTTTTTTAAGGGAATGAAAAGTCAAGAGTATACAACAAAAAGTGAACGGAGAAAGTATGTATGTATGTATATATATATATATATATATATATATATATATATATATTATATCATTAGATTATTTTTATTTACTGTAACGGGTAATGTATCTTATTTTCAAGATTGCTAATTCTGCATTAAGAAGTTGAACCTATAGTTTTCGCTCATACATGTATTTTTATCCAAAAAATTATTAAATATGTATAAATAATAAATTTTGAATCCATTAAATTAGATGAGATATGACAAAATTGTAAATCTGAACCAATAAAGTTTAAATTATTGATCTGCTTCCGATTATATGGATAGTAGATATGTCATGGATAACCTGATAGTGTAAATAATTAATTTTTGACACTAGCGATCTATACAACTTAAATTCTATTTAGAAAAAAAAACTTGAATTCTATATATATTCAGTTGTCTATAGGCCACTTTCCCCTCAAATAACTTCAAATCTTTGTATATCCGAGTTGAACAAAAGATAGAGTTTCAGTTCCTAGATCCAGTGAAGTTCATAGCCATGGAAGATGCCTTAAAGCGCATCAAAATTCAAGAAAATTATGACCAAGAAAACAATAATATTGAATTATCAGTTTTGATTCCTGGTTTGCCAGACCACTTAGCTCATCTTTGTCTTTCCAATCTTCACCCTTCACTTCTTTATGATGTTTGCAAATCTTGGCGACGCCTTATTTACACCTCATTTTTTCCTCCTTTTTATTCTCTTTATGCTGTATGCTCTCCAACTACTACTATTACTTCATCATCCAATAGTAGCAATAAGCAATATGCAAAAGTTGATGATCAAAATTCTGTGGAGTTTTTCTGCTTAGATCCAATTTCATCTAAATGGAGTTCTTTACCAAATCCTCCTTCAGATCCACCTATTCGTGTACTTCGCCGTCATCCTTCTTTTATATCAAGAAGCCTTTCTATTCAATCTTTAACTGTATCTGAACGTATGGTTCTTATTGCTGCTACTACACACAAGTTTCTACCTGCACTTGAACGTCCATTGGGATTTAATCCATTGTCTAATGAATGGTTTTTTGGACCTCAATTTCCTACGCCACGGCGATGGTGTGGTACGAGTTCTGTAGATGGCAGTGTGTATGTAGCAAGTGGTATTGGATCGGTATACGATGGAGATGTAGCGAGGTCCCTAGAGAAATGGGACGTGAAGAAAAAGGCAAATGAATGGAAGTGGGAAAAAATGGCAGGATTAAAAGATGGAAGATTTAGCAGAGAAGCTGTTGATGCTATTGGCTATAGAGGGAAACTATGCATGGTAATCTCAGAACTCTATGACCATCTCATTCAAAAGTTTCTTTCTTTTTTATGAACAGTTAAAATACATCGACTTTTTTTGTTGTGTTTTAATTTACTAATGAGTGGCGATAAAATTGTGTATCGTACTGTTACAATGTCTTTAACTAGAAAATTTACTATGGTTATTTGATAATATCATAGTTGCCACTCATTACCTGCTTTGACTGGTAGTGATTCAAGATTTAATATATACAAATAACAATAACCCAGTAAAATCTCACAAATGGGGTATGGGGAAAGTAGTGTGCCGCAGACCTTACCCCTACCCGAAGGGATAAAGAGGCTATTTCCAAAAGATCCTCGGCTCAAGATAATATATATGCATACAATATTTAACTTATAGTATACACTTATATTAATTTTTGTATATCAATATAATTTTCCGTTAAAGAATATTCAACCTGCCGTTCTTGAGCCTATGTGCTCCACCACTACCTTTAATATCATGTTGAGTTGTGTGATCAACTTTATTTACTTAAATTATATTTTTAACAGGTAAATATCAAGGGACGTGCAGTAAAACAAGGCGCCGTTTACGACGTAGCGAAAGATGAGTGGGAAGAGATGCCAGAGGGAATGCTAGGAGGATGGAATGGACCAGCAGCAACAACAACAAATGATGAAAGTGAGATGTACGTAGTAGATGAGACAAAGGGATCATTGAGTAAATATATATCAGAAATTGATGAATGGGAAGAGTTGATTGGGTCTTGTGATCATTTGAAAGGTGCTGAGCAAATTAGTGTTGGAAGAGGACGAGTTTGTGTCATTTGTAGTGGTGGACGGCAGATTGCGGTGGTGGATGTTGCAGTAACACCAGCTAATGTAATTCGAGTTGTGAATACTCCGCCGGAGATGGAGGCAATTGCTTTGCATATATTGCCAAGGATCAATATTGTTTCAGACTGATACATGGTAATATTGAATTATCAAAAGAAGGAAGAAACAAATTTTGCTTATCTTTAATTTACAAATTACCTAGGTAAATTGTCTATAAAAATCAAAATTAACTAGTAATCTAAAAAATAAGGAAGTTACATGTGCTTCAAAATAATTAACTAGTAATCAGACAACTTGATAGTCCTATGCATTAAGCTCCCCAATACGCGGAAAAAAGGTCTTGGGTGATCTTATATACCTTGCTTTATTTTATATTTCTATAAAATACTGTTTTCACGTCTTAAACACATGACCTCTTAGTCACACGATAGTAATATAGTAAAATACACTAACATGTAAATGTTTAGATTATCAATATAAATGTAATTCCACCTTGGCAATACATATGAGAGATGGTAAGTATATAAAGATTAAGCCTTTTATTGATATGTTTTAAAGTTGTGCAGATCTAAGTTCAAATAAAACAATATTAGTAGTGGGTTGAGCTGTTATACGGCTTTTTATTCCATTAACATTACTCTCCCTGCTGCATATTATCCATCTTTAATCATTTAGGGTGTGCTTGGTACGAAGGAAAATATTTTTCGGAAAATATTTTCCAATTTTCTNTTCATTTTTCTGCCGCCCCCGCCCCACCCCTCCCCCTGAAAAAAATATTTTTTAAATATATTTTTTAGTTTTAGTTTTTTTATTTATTGGTTTAAAGGTTCAAAATTTTACAAGTTCTAAAGTTATGAGTTCGGAGGTTTATGTGTTTGGAAGTTTAGAAATTATAAAGTTTACAGGTTTGAAATTCCACGGTTTCGTAAGTTTAGCGTTCGAAAGTTTATGAAATTTGTGGGTTCAGAAGGTTATTGGTTTGAAAGTTTATGGCTTCATGTTTATTATATCTAAATTATTTATGAATAATCTTGAGAAGTCATTTTCCTTAATTTGCATACCAAACACCGAAAAATGAATAAGATTACTACTTATTTTTCAAGAAAACATTTTCTTGAAAAACATTTTCCTTTATACCAAACACACCCTTAATTCTTAGTTATTATATACTTATGATTTTGCATTTAACGGATGCAAAGAGCAGACTTGTAAATAGAAAGTACTTCTGAATGTTCTTTTTCTCCTTTTTTTTTTGTTCGTACATTGGAAAGAAGAAACTCTTGAGTGTTCCCTGCTTCAGTTACACATATACCAAATCAAAACATTTGTTTAAAGAAAAAAGTTATAGAAACTTTACCACTTTTTTTCAACAAAAAGCAAAACTTCCACGCAATGATCAAGGAATTAATATGCACACCGAAAGGCATTTGGTTATCGGAATTCCAATATTAATTAAAATAATTGAGACTGCATTTATTTCGTGTTATGTTGTTGATATTAACTAAAATCGATATAAATTTTGTATTAAATTTTAAAAATTCTCTATTTCATATAGGATATGTGGAATTATAATCTCGAGATTATAATTTTAAAATAACCTTATTCTGAACCAAACAACCCAAGTGTAGTGCATATAATATTTTTTAAGAAAAGCTGGAGTTTGTTATATTAGCATATGAGCACCAATTATTACAAAATTCCTTTCTTCGTGAAGCATACTCAACAAACTTTAACCTCATGCGAAAAAAGTTTGTCACGTAGCTCGACTTCCTGGAAAAGCTTTGCACCAAAGATAAATTAAATTATAATAAAATGAATTCATAATAATACTTTACAAAAGTTGTGTCCCTAGATCAACCAGGACCACCTAAAAGTAAAGTCAATATGTCATGATTCACAATAAAGTTAATACTCCATTTCATATACGAAAGCCAAAGGCACACCAAGTATATATATATATATATAGAGAAATGTTTTTAGTTAATTAATCAATGATATTTTTTGTACCAAAACCACGATATTTGAAAAGGCTATAATCACAAGGAAATCAAAGTGTTTTTGTGTCTTTATCTGTGTGGGGTTTGATCTAACCATATGACACAGCTTGCATAAAGTGCAACATATATATATCCTTAATTAACCGAACAATTGCTTTTGTCTCTTTCTTCCTTTTCTTTTTTCTCTCTTTTTTAAAAATCTAATTAGGTTTGGCTTTTTATTTCACGTTCCTTGGAGTATAGACCTTTTTCGGATTTTGTATAAATACAGAATACCCTATGCACTATTCATATATTTTAATCTACATTATTTCTAAGTAATTACTTCTACTTTTATAAATAGTTATTTATATAATTAATCTTAAAGATAAATATGTAGAAATAATTAAATTCTTAAAGATAAGATCAAACCTAACCCCTAGATTGCTTCCATCCCTAGACCTACCCATGGGGCATAGCTTGACCTTTTTCTTAACCCAAGAGGCTAACATAACTACACACAGAAGTTAAAGGGTCCCCTACTTTCATCATAGCTTCAACGTATAAAAATATTTCCCATTTATTATACAGCTTGAAAGGAGCCTGGAATAACAGTACATTATTTCTGTATTATTTATAGGTAACGATTTCGAGCAGTGAAAATAGTTATTAATGTTTGTTAGATTGTCTACATCACACTCTCTACGAGTGCAACCCTTGCATGAATCCGAGATATTTTGTACGCCGAATTACCTCTAATTATACAACTTGAATCTAAAAATTTATCCCACATAAATGAAGTAGTCGTATTGTTTAATATATTGGTAGGATGAAGATAAAGTAGTTCCATCATCAACTTTGAGTCTGTGACCATTATTCATGTATTTTTTTTAATTCCCTCCCAAATTAGGAATATCTGTAATGTTTTCTTTGAAAATTCATGCATCTCTAGTCTCTAGTCTCTAGTCTCTAGTTTAAAAGAATATATGGTGCAACTTGACAACTTTACGAATTAACTGCAGCAGCTAAAAGCTAAGTTGTTCTTATTTTTCGAGTTATAAAGCTAAAAGCTAATAGCAAATACATGGTCCCACCGTCACGTTGTGGCAATTATATATCGTATGGCAGTACGTTGGATTTATCTTAAACTACAGAAGCATGTTATATAAACATATAGGCATTTAGCAACATAAGCATATATGAAGCGGAATTAGATTCAACTGAACTCATTGTTTTTAGTATATGCAAAAAATATTTAAAATATACACATATAATAAAGTCACACTAAACTTACTACAATAACTAATTTGTCTTCACCAATAAGTAATAGTAACATTTGGAATGTATAACAGAACGTGCAATTTATGACAAAACTATCAAAATGCAAGAATATTAGATAGGAGTATATGCAAAAGAGAAATCTAAGGTTAGAAATTTGAAGCCAACGATGTACATGATCTTATTATATGAAAAGAATATAATAATAAATTAAAGCAGCACAAATTAAAGTTCCCTAACAAATGCCAAGAAGATAACTGTCATGGCAATATGTCAAAAAAGTAGTTGAAAAGCCAAAAAGCCAAAACCTCATTCCTTGTAAAACACTTTAAAACAAACTTTTCCTAAATCAACTACTCCATCATATTATATAGTAGTAGTGATTATTCTTCCTCATTAACCACTCNATATATATATCTGCATCTTCATCACATAAATGCAAACAATAAAGGTCAATGCAGCCACATGGAAAGGTTGTGGATTTTATCTAGAAATTGAAATGATTTAAAATCAAACTATAATTTATCTAGAAAAGTCGTGCCAAATTTAAATTATTAGTCTCGATTCACATAAATGCAAACAGTAAAGGTTACGTTGTTCACCCGAGATACGTTGCACTTAGAGATTACAAAAGAGGACCTGATCGAACCTCTCAGATTTAAATGAGTAGACCCACGGAAAAGGGTTCAAAATGCCCTTCAACTATTAGACAACAACAACAACCCAGTATAATCCCACTTAGTGGGGTCTGGGGAGGGTAGTGTGTACGCAGACCTTACCCCTACCCTAGGGTAGAGAGACTGTTTCCAAATAGACCCCCAACATCCTTCCCTCCAAGAACTTCCCACCTTGCTCTTGGGGAGACTCGAACTCACAACCTCTCGGTTGGAAGTGGGGGTTGCTTACCTTCAACTATTAGAAAAGGTCTAAAAATACCCTTCATCCACCTATTTGGCTAAAAATACCCTTCCATCCACCTTTTTGATTCATTTATACCCTTTGACCGAAATTTCTATTTTTTGGTTAAACAACTTGCAAAATCTATGGAATATGTCAAGTTTATCGATTTTGTTTGTGAAAATGTATACGTATTGGAAATATTAAAAAAGGATTTCCTCAGATTTTAGAAATACTGGATTTACGCAGTTTTAGTGTTATAGAATGTACCCAAAAAGGTACCTTTCCAGTTGATCAAAGTATGTCAATATGTGTGAGAGCTTATTTAAATGTGTAGCTTTAAATATTTTTATTAACTCTTTTAACTTTGAAATCCATGTCGGATATTAAATATACATTAGATGCGAGAGTACTAGTATTAATAGTATAGTACTCCATCCGTCTCGTATTAACAGTCGTAGTTACTAAAAATAGCTATATCAAATTATTTGTCATTTTAGAAGTTCACGACAAAATTGATCTTTCTTTTCCTTTTTTACCCTTAGTAATAATTATTCTTGAAGATGAAGATAATACATAAATAAAATAAATATTCAATGAAGCCACTCGTGGGATTTCACTGGGTTGTTGTTGTTGTAATGAAGAGAGATTTTATTTTAAGACATAAATAAGGGTATAATAGTTTAATCTCTTTCCTAATTAATATTTCTTAAAAGCCGTGTAAAAGAAAAACACGACAAATAATACGAGATAAAGGGAGTATCATTTGGCTCCCCGTAAACTAAAGTAACTTTTAGGAATAATAATTAATTCTGTTGATGAAGTTACTTTAGAAAAACGGGTTCAAATCTTATAATTTTTTTTGTAAAATTTAAAAAAATATTTTGCAAAATATTATAGTATTTTTAAACTAATGCACCAATAGTCCACTAATTTAGTAAAGTCTTTTTTTTAGTTTTTACAAAAGCAATTCAGTTTTTACAAAAAATATTTTTTTTTCCAGTTTTTTAAAGCACTTTTTTGTAAAA